GAAAGGCCTCAGTGTCACATTTATTCCTCTATCTCTGGACTTTTTATAAAGATGAAAACAATAAGACATCTCTTTGTACCCTATGTGTAGTTATTCTGATTTAAGGAGAGGAAAAAAAAAAGTGACATTTTATTTCTGATTGTTCGCTGTTAGAGGAAGAGAGGCCTGGCTGGCCTTGAGCTAATGTTTTTCCCTTCCCAAATCCTGTTTTTTCTAAGGCTTCTCACCAAAATGTATTGTTTTTAGGATAAAAGTATAAGGACAAAATATGCTTTCATGAAATAGAAACCAAGTGTTCTTTAATCAAAATAAATAAGTAATTAAATAAAAGAGGCTAGACAAAGCTAGGAGGAGCGTTCCACCAGGCGAGCCCTGGGAGCCCCAGCAGTGCAGGGCTCCCTGCTGCGGAGGGGAAGCCGGTGCTGGATGGCACGAGTGCGGCAGGACCGTGCAGGAAAGGGCAGATCCAGATCTTATAGTTAGCTCCTTCTCTTTTTCTACCCTTCCTATTATATGGAACCGGAGAGATGTTGTGAAACTTGCTATTATTGCCTGTGAACCGCTTACGGAAAACCTACTTATGACTTATTTCCATTTCTGGGTCTGACTGGAAAGAAAACAAAGTGCCAACTTCAAAGGGAGTTCTCAGTGTTACTCAGCATTAGATGCTGTTTCCCTGCCTGCCTCTTCTCCCTTGGTTGCTGTCCCAGGAACTGAGCCCTGGCTGCTCTTTCAGCTCGGGGGTTTTACGAGATGATGCTCAGGCAGGAGGGGCTCTTTCTGACACGTGTGTGCTGTACCATGATTTCCCCTGCACGTGACACACAGCAGAAACCAGACCTGGCTATTAGTTGCACCCTGTCCTTTACCTCACGATGTGGAAACAGGAACTCGCCAGAGGCCTCTGATCACCCCTTTCAACAGGGATACGGTAAAACCAGGCCAGCGTGGCCTTCCCTGTGGTGGAAAGGATTATCTGAGATTAGAGTGGTCACTGCTGGCACCTGGGGACCCATGTGCTCTCCCACCTGAGTTAGGAGTGGGCTGGGCTGAGCTCCCTTTCTGAGGCAGCTTCCCTTAACCAGCGCTCTTGGCTGCTGCTTCAGCTGGGGAGGCTCATCCTGCTCATCCTCACTAGCAAACTGTACTCGGCATGAGCTGAGGAGCTTGCTCTGAGCCAACAGGGAATTCCTTCCCGATCTCTGGGATGTGGCCCGAGGCTGTGGAGAGCGTCTCCAGTGCTCAGGTTGTGGTTGGTTGGGCAATTGTTTCTTGGGGCTCTTTTGCAATCCTGTGTCCTCCATGGAAGTGACCGTAAATGCAGTTTAACTTCCTCTTTCTCTCAACTCCTTTCTTAAATATCGAAGGTTTAGAGAAGAAAAAGTCAGAAAATAGAAGCCTGTGTTTTTAGTCTGAGATAAAGCTCAGCCCTCTGCGCTAAGGTTGGGGCCATCTGTGCTCATCAGTTCATTTTGTTAACCGGTAATCCCAAAATGAAGAAAATGAAAAAATACCTTGTAATAGTAGAGAACTGAAGGTATCATGGGCTGTGGCAGAGCCAAAATTTCTTCCTGGATAAACTGTTTAAGTAGCTTGGAGCAGTAATTTGACAGTGAAGCTGGCTCGTGCTCCTGCCTTCGTGAGCCTGGGAACTGTGCTGAGTCAGCACCGTGCGCTTGACTTTGTGGTTCTTTGGCTTTGCTCCCAGGAAGGCTGGTTTTCCTTGAAGCTCTTTGACCCTTTCTTTTCAATTACTGCAAATGAAATCGCCCAGCTACCTTTCATTCTGCTTTTAGGATTGGCTACCACAGTAACAGCATTTTCCCTATCCTATTGACTTTGGAGAGCTGATGTGGATTCCATAATTGCATGGCCTTTAACTCTGTTTTTCAATCATTTTGCTGGAAAATCCCCAGCAATTTCAGCAGGTCTGATGTTAAAATTCCAGTTTTGCCTGTCTCCTTCAAATGCAGTTGCTCTGTTGGGTGCTTTATGATCCCTTCCTTTTAACCAATTTCTGGTAATAGATTTATGTAGCTTTAAAAAACAAGAACAAAAAAAAAATAGGAAATGCCCTATTAATACACTGGAAATGGAGTGGAATCAGGCTGGAAAACTCCAAAATGGGCTATAAAAGCACAAACAGCAATGTAAAACCCATGTGTTCAGCAGGCTGTAAGCCAGGAGCCCCAGGCTCTAATCCCAGTCTTGAGCTCCCAAGTTTGACTAAGAAAACTAAAGAGCAGAAGGGAAAAAAGAAGAGTCTTTGTTTAAATTTCTTCATCTTTTCCTAGGCAGACTCGTCTTACCATACAGATTAACAATTTAGAAGTCACAGGCTACTTGGACCTTCCATGTGAAATGTCCTCTCAAATCTCCTCCAGCTGCAGCCTCTCTGGAAGTCTGTGGAAATGCAAGTGCTAATGTGCATCCTAGCTCCAAAACACTACGTGCAGACTAATACTCAAAATGCCAGTGTTTGTGAGGGTAACTAGGCACCCTTTTACTCAAGGGTATCACAGCTTCTCTATCCTTGACTCTTTTCCATACCTGCTTTCTGTAAGGAAGGGGAAGGTGAGGGCTGCTGGAAGATCTCTGCCTTTAAGGAAAGGCCATGAACTACCACACATACGCAGAAGGTTTTCCTTTTATTTTTGGTTTCCTGACTAAGAAAAGGTCTTGCTTTATAACAAAGGTTTTTTAAAAGCTGTGACTGCTTCTCATTAGTGTATAAGAACAGTTCATAGCTCTTTTGGGGCCTGTTAATAGTAAGACTTTATATATATATATATGATTTTAAAAACTGGTCACTAAGAGGACTATGGAGTAGATTGAAATCTGGAATATATTTCTGAACCAATTACTGGGAGGGAAATGGGAGTTTTGCCTGACTAAGGAGTACAGAACAGGGACTTCAGTATGGAAGCTTATTCGACAACTGTACTATTTTTGGCTTGTGAATTGTTCTAATGGCTATTTATTTTTAAGGTCGTTTTCTGTTTGCATTTTCTATACACTCTTCTGGTGGGTGGGAGACATTATAAAAACAATCAATGCTTCTCAGAGTTATCTACTGAACTTTAAGAGGGATGGGAAAAGCAGAGATTTGTGTACTTATTACTTTAAAAAACAGAAACATCTGTTTAGGTCATGAAGTTTGTTGACCCACTCTAAGCTATGTCCCCACCGGAAAAATACCATTTCTATTAACATAAACTACCACAGAGGATTGCAAAAGAATTGGAAAACTTGGTCAGATGAAAGAATGGGATAAACAGAAAGGAAGCATCAGATTTAGCATTTTTTTCAGTTGTATGCACCTTAAAATAGCAGAAGGAAAACCAGAACATTCATTCCATGACTGAGGAGTTTCTGAAAAATTTTTAAATCAAAGCATGTGTCCTGCTTCTTAAGACTCTTGTTAAAAAAACAACACACTTTGCTGTTGTGTTTTCTTGGCTTCTTCCTGTTGGCCATGTCTTTATTCACTCTCAGATAATACAAACTCATTTGACAGTGGCAGTTTACAAAAAAGTAACAATGATTATTTTAAACATAAATTTAAAAAACCTCAGTCTGGCCATTTGGCATGCAATGCAGTATTTGAACCAGATAATGGTAAAGAAATAGCTTGCAACATTGGAAGCATACTCTCAGCCATGTTCCTTTTCCAGAATATAAAATACACAGTACAAAAATACACTAAGAAATAATTGAGATTTTGTTGTAGAAATGTCTGCTGCAATACAATTGCTGTTGTCTAACTTGCAGTATATTTATTCCCACACTATAGTAGGATAAAATATTTGAGTAAAAACGGTCTATTTCTAACCTGACATGAACTTAAAAGTTCAAATTAAGTTAACTATAAAATCTTAGGCTCTAGTCCCCAAAAAAACCACAGTCGGGATCTTAACTTGAGCTCAGTGAGACTGATGCAAGTGAGATGAGCACACCTGTAAGCATCCACTTCCCTGGGGCCTTGCTCAGGAAGCAAGTAGAAGGTGAATTGCTGCACCTCATAATATCCTAATTTAAGGCATTTTCTGGATCTTCCTTCAAGACTTTTAGCAACTCCTCCCCGGGCTACTCTCTTATCTTCAGTTAATGAAGCCTTTGGTAATATGGTGAATATACCTATTTTGAGATCTGCACTTAGTTTAGTCAGCTTCAGGAAGCCTCTTCCTTACCTCATTCCTCTACATAAAAACCTTATTCACCCTCTTTCCTCCTCCTCCTCCCTCTCTGCTTACCTGTCATCACCAAAATTGCTTCTTTTCACAAGAGAGCTGAATGCACCAGCACTTTGCAAAGGCTGCTCTCATCAAGCCTCATATGACCTCTCTGCATTCAGAGCACAATTCCCTTAGTGTTTCCAAGGTTCAGAAAACCTAGCGTAGAAACCAAAGCCTGGGCTTATCTTGCCATACAGAAATGAGAAACTGTCCAGCTGGGCTTGCACACATTCAATAAGAATTTTTTAAAGTAGATGTAATGCTTGTGGAAGATGCCAGCCCTGGAAGTTCTCTGTTTTCCACAGAGAAAACAGACCCCAGGCATCAAAAGCACCAGGTTTCTACAGTGCCCCATCTGGAGGTCCTTTAGACTCAGAAGCCAAACTCTTACCTAGCAGACAAGCATTTTTAAATGTCTTGCTCCTTTTCCTTCCAACAGCAGATCTCAAAACATTTAAGAAAAGAAGTTAGTATTGCTTCATTTTTTGCAGACAGGAAAACTAAGGCACAGAAGGTGAACTCATCTGGACCAGCACTAATCTGCAGGTCTCCTCTACCTTAGTCCTTGCTCTTCACTAAGCAGTTTCTCTTCCTGCTTGTATTATATGACATAAATTCTCAGAATTAACAGAGGCAACTTCCCAACCCTATCCCCAAAACACACAACACAAACAGGGGCCAATATCCGCCTTCCCAGGCATGGCCTCCACAGACAATATCAAGAAGGACATGCATTGGAGGCCAGAAGTTGGCTTCCCAGTTTCCAAATGCCCCTTGCTCCCAAGAAGGTCAGCTATGGAAAGACGACCAAGATACTTCTGAGGTATAAAACTCTGTTTCTGCTGGCCACTGGTCTACTTTGTCATCATCAGATTTGTCACTGTCGTCACCACTAGAAGGTTCCAAACCTGGCACGGCAGCGTGGAACTGCTCCGGCTGCCTGAGACCGGCCTCCGCCTCCTTCTTCTTTTCTGCCAGCAGCTGCCTGTGGCACAGGTTGCAGACCCTCAGCGGCTTGGGGGACAGCCGTGGCATCAGAAACCTCTGCCTAGAGCAGTCTCCGCACACGACAAAGCCACACTTGCGGCAGTGGTGCCTTCGGGTGAGCGTGGAGAACTTGGTCTGGGTGCAGCGCATGCAGATATCGGTTGCCTTGTCCGGGATCCACGGGGCAGCGTGCTCGGTGGAGGGCTGCCGGCCCGTCTTTGTCAGCAGATGCCTGATGCACTCCTCCAAGTGGCTGATCCACTCCTTCCTCTCTGTGAGGGAGGCTGCAGAAACCACAAAGGACTTCTTTGAGGTTTTAATCATCCAGCGGTTCTTCATCTGCAAGGTGTCCGGCAGCGTCTCCAAAGTGACATCTTCAAGGGGAATGATGTGCTGGGAATTGTACTTCCTTTTGTTGATCACTATGCTCCCGTACACGAGAATGTCGTTGAAAAGGAAGAATATCCGAGGCTTGGGTTTCTTGCGGCATTCTTTGGTTAAAATTCCTTCCCCTAAAAGGACCCTTCCTGGCACAGCTAAAGGCTGCCCAGATGCTCCGAAGCAGTTTTCCACGGCAGCGATGCGCTGGCTGTTGATCTCGGTGTTTACAAGATGGTCCACCATCTCCGACTCGCTCTGCAGAGAGGAAAATAAACAGAGTGGTGAAGCTGCACCAAACACTGGTAACAGCAGGAGACCAGTAGCGAACTTACACCCAGGTGAGAAATTTCTAAACTAAACTGAGATTACGATTAATCTCTTCATTGTTCTTTACTGTGGAAAATTGCTTTTAAAAAGTAATAAACACAAGCTTCCAGCTTGCTTTAGTGGCTAGGTAAAGCTGTTCAGTTTAAAGCAAAGCAAGCCCTCTGACGCAGAATCACCTGTTCTGATACAGCCTTTTCTACCACTAAAACTGTGTTCCCATAAGAGAGGAAGCAGGTTGCTCTAACACACCTTTTATGTGCTACTTTTATGGTTATGGGACTACTTGCACAGGAGTTACTGTAATGATTCGAGGATACCAGCACAGCTCCTTCCTGTCCCACCCTCTCGGTGCTGATGTGGGGAGCTGCAGTGCAGCATCGTGCTCGTGCACCAAGCTAATGCGTGGCAGGTGGCTGCACACGCACGGAGGAGATCCGCGGTTTTGGAACAGGTCTCCCATTTCTGACTCTGCCGTCTGGGGCCAGAGCCAAGGTAATGTTTTAGAAGAAGATGCTAGGATGCTCTGTGGTTTGTTGCCTCTCATCCTCCTTGAATGATGAAGGGGGAAAAAAAGGCACAATCCACGTGAACAAACCCACAGAAGCCAACACCTGCCTCCATTACCCCAGCTATGTTCAGGCACGGCTGCTTCCAGTTAAAACATGCATCATTCTGAAAACGCTCTGACCTCTGCTGAAGGGGAAGTACAAGAAAGCAGGCTCGGGGTTCCCTCCCACACAGTTTTTCCTAGTGGGATTTTTAAAAGCATACAGATACTCTGAGGCAAAAGCAAATGTTTTGCTATCTATGGTTTCTAGGAAGGGAAGCAATGTATGTTTGCAAGTTCATTTTTGCTGATTTGCCCCTAATTCTCTCTGTGTTTAATGGTAATGCCCCTAAGACTATACTGGCTAACGTCCACGAGAAAGTGAGTCATTTCCTCTTAAAGCGAGGTAGTTCAGAGATCACGAGGTAGCTCAGAGATCACAGGAATGTGTGTAGCCCTAGTTTCTATTAGCATTTCATAGAATCACTAACACAGAGCCTCTGTCCAGAAGTTTCTTCCCATCCTTTTTGTACTGAACCTTTACAGCTGTGGAGTGTTGGAACCCAGATGGGAAGGAGAAGAGAAAGAGGACAGTATGCTGAGTCCTGTGTCTTTGGGATAATGATGACTTACATTCTTGTCTTGGCCTTCACCCCAAAGCACTCCTTCAGACTGCTAGAAGGGAAACCACAGAGTAGCTGTTCAAGGTTGCTCTGTGCTGTTTATCTCTTGCCTGAGCCATTTAATAGAGTCCTAAGAGTATTTTTATTGGGAACTGGTCAGGATGTGCTGAATTTCATCTACTGTCTACAGAAAGTTGAGGCACTGGTTTAGCCCTAGGAGGAAACCTGAGTGAAATGACTCCATCTGCAGAAATGGCTTTCACCAAGAAGAGTTTTGTTGCCGCTGCTTCCAAAAAGCTGGTGCCCATGGCTGCGTGTCAAGGGGATTTCTTGTTAATCCATGGAGACAGCACCCTTGGCAGCACAGGGCCTTGTTGGGAGTCTGCCAGAGCGCGAGCATCACCTCCACAAGCCCCGACTGCTCCATGACCATCAGTCCCAGAACTACCTTACACAGATTTCTCTGATTCTGACATCATGAGGTGAATATGAGCTGACAAGGCGCTATGGTGCCTTGGTCTCCCTCAAACCAGAGGGATTTAGAAGCGGCTCTTGAGTTCCTTCTGCAAAGATTTATTTCTTCAGGGTCTTGAAGCATCAGGCAGATTTGATGGAGTTTGACAGGACTAAGTATACTCACTCATGTCTTTCAATAGGAAATGCAACTTAAAGTTAACTACAATGTATATATTTACAACAAGAAGCATCAAAGACTCGGTAGCAGCATAAGAAACTACCTTCAGAGGAAGTCAGAGGAATGAGCAGCTCCAGAGTAGGGAAATGTTTCTGAAAGCTTTGTGCTTTCTGAGGAACAAATGGAGGGAGAGAAGGAGGCCGGCCTTGGCATGCTGAGTGCAAGAATGAGCCCATGCCCCCCTCTCTGGAGAGCAGTGCTGAGCCAACAGTCTGCAGTCACGAGATGCTCATCATAAGCGCTCCTCCGAAGAGCCAGATGTGGAAGGGTGTGATTAGATGAGCAGTGGCTGAAGTAATGCCCTAAAGAACCTTCCATTTCAATACACAGATTCAGAAGCTACATGACGGGATTTATTATTTGTTGTCAGGAGAGGAGAAAGACTCCCCTCGTCTCTGTGATTTGCCAGCCTGACTGGATCCGTGTATTGAGGGACCAACTCTGCTACAAGATTTACATACAAGTCTATTTTGGGTTGCACAATGCAACACTTTTTTGTTTTCTTCCTTTTTAATTGCAAAAAAAAATGGGCCATTAATGGGTTGAAGTACAAATAGGAGGGCAAAATACAGTCCACAGCTGTACAGTCCACACTAAACTCCCTGACTTTGAATAGCTGGAGTCTTACCTATGCTGGATGTGTTGTCCTAGATTTCTTACCAACAAAAGCTTGGATGGGGGGCTTTTGAGGGAAAGGAACACAAAACGGAATAAAGGAAAAAAGAAGAGAAATTGCAGGTTGGAAAGCTTGGTGTCGAAAAGCAGCAAATGCAACAAAATATTTTAAGTATTTTCGGGCACCAGCAACACCGATTGGGATAAACCAAGCTGTTATTCTTGCTCTCTCCAATGTCAGCAAATGACCCTTGGGTTCTGATTTCTGTCCCTGACCACCACCGTGACATCTCCTCTCCCCCTGCCACATTAAGTGGTAAAGACTCTGGGGACTCTGCAGGACTTGTGGGGAATGAAATGATTTAAGGAAGGTTCAGTATATGCAGTGGTTAGAGGCCTAAAGGAGGAGCAGTATGTAAAACAAATCCTGTAGTCACAGCAGTACCTAGGAGTTCCTAATTTCTCAGTTATTAATGCTTCTGGATTCGGAAGCCCCCGCTTTTTACATAAGATTGCATCTTTTAATTTTATTCTTTATATTTTAGAAGCATAGTCCACACTCCCAAGGGAGTGTGGTGCATGAGACAACTCTCTTTTTGGAGATCACCATGTACCAGCTCCTAACGGTAGTAAAAAGTGTGTCGGCAAAAAGCCAGAAAATGTGAACTAGCTCATTTTCAAACATTGTTGCGATCCAGATTTAAACTCCACCCTATTTGATTTATTTTGGTAAATATTTTTGTTTGCTTGTCCAAGTTTGTTCTGCCAGGTCAGAAGGATTGTGGTGTTTACTAAGTAATACACATACAGGCACACTTATGATAGAGGCTCATACAATGTTATCCTTTTATGTTTGGGGGAGTTCGTTTAAGTTTCATTTCACAGTGTCAGCTATCTATAACCATCAAACAATAAGCCCAGGGCTATATTAAGAATTTAGCCCTTTAAGAATTTAATTTTTAAATTAAGAATTTAATATAGCCCTGACACTGGTGCAAAAAGAATAAATGTGCCAGTGAGGGCGGAAGGAGGTGCTTTACTAGCATTCTACTTTTACAGGAGTTTTTGGCAGGACGTAGAAAATTTGTTTTATTTTGTCATGACATGTTGATCCTCGTATGCAATCAGTTATTGTGCAGTGAATGTGTAGCTCAGTGCTACTGGTATTCAAACCGAAAAAATACCCCATTTCTTCCGCGTGCAACTCCAGGAGACAGTTAAATCTTTTAACAATGAACTCTTGTTAACCTGTGATTATAAACAGCTACATTGACACGTAACAGGCAGCACCTTTCAACTTAAGCTCCTGGGTCAGTGAGTTGGGTATGTTTTTCAGGCCTGTATGTATCTAAGGTGAGTGGCTTAGGTAAAGATCCTTGTTCACTGCTGCACCCAATATCCTTCAGTCCTTGCTGTCAAATCAAAGTGACAGACTTTGTTTTCCTTGCATACCTAATGCAAGGGATGGCCCATGAGGATCTGTGTGTAGACAGAGGATCCCCAAGTCAACCAGCAGAAAACGCCTGGACCCTTAAGCCTCTCCAGGATCCTGCACGAGGTGCCCGTTCCTTCCCGCCGCGCTCACGGGACCCTGCTCGGTACCTGGTACTTGGGAAGGCCGCGCCGGGCCCCGCATGGGGAAACGCCGCAGCCCGGGCGCAGACGGGCGAGCGGAGCCAGGCGGCTTTTCGCGGTGCTGCCGGGCAGCGGGACCCGAGCGCATCGCTCCTCTGCGCGGGGCTCCCACCAGCACCAGCGCGGCCCCCTCGGGTGCCAGGCGGGACCCCAAGGCGGCTCTCGGGCTAAGGGCTCCAGGAGCCGCCGCCGGGCCGGGCCCTGCACTCCCAGACGAGT